TCAACATCTACACATAAAGGAACACTTCATCCTTCAGTTTATCACAACATCAAAACATCTGGAGATACGTCACAAACTGTCATCTGAAAAGTACCTAAAGCCGTCAGACAAAGGTAGTGGAGTAAAAACGTACGTTCAATGTTGTGGTAGACATCAAAATGACCAAAAAGTAGGATCAAACTTACAATATTCATCACAGACAAGATGTAGTGCTCGATGTCTTTGCGTCCGTGATAACCGACCATCATTTTATCAGCCACCACGAGCGTCTCCACGAAGCGCTCGGAGCTGATGGAGCGCCTCTGTCTGTGGGTGCCGTTCGACTGCTCGCCGTCGTTTTGGGGCGCGGTGGGCGAGCGGACAGGTGAAGGTGTGCTAAACTGGCAAGGTGCGCTGCTTTTGATGAGGTCTGTGGATGACAGGGAGACGAAGACAGGTCATGCAGCCAATTACGAACTTCCAAATTATGAAGCGTCATCTGTTTGAGGGAGAGCTGGTAAGATGCACGGAGGGGAATCTGCCCCTTTGAACCTTTGCAGCTAAAGTATTTTGCTTTATGACCCAGATGCTCTGGGAAAAAGCTATAAGACGGTACATGTTGGGGCATGCGAGCTTCCTGGTGATGACAGCCTTTGCTGTTTCTTATAAGAGCTTGGCCCAAATACCTAAATATCCACCTGGTTCTTTTTTTTCTTCAAATTCGTCATATCTCAGCAGATGCAGCTCTTTGGTTGGAGTTGTTTGAATCTGAACATGATTCTATAAATAGAATTTGTGCTTCTATAAAAGTTGAAGTCAAGAGCTCTCTATGCACTGAGGGGCCTTTTTTATGAAAGCTTTCTGTTACGGGTTGAAAGGTGTCCAGGCCAGGAGCAACTATAGCACACAAGAGGCCCGGTCATGTCGCACCAGAACCTGGGCCTACAACCAAACCAGCACTTCCTCTTAACCTGCTGTGTAAAGTTATTCCTTTACGTCAGTCCTACCCACACAGAGTCCAACCCAGATGGAGGTTTAACCAACCTGAAATGCCACAGCTGAGCTCCTGGCTATGCTCTTGTGGTGAGGGAATGGCAGACATTTTATAAATAACATGTTGCTGTGCTTCTTCCAGGTTCCATTCACTGGAGGATATGTTCTTTAATGGCTCTATCAAATACTGTTCCTCCTCTGTTGTTATGACACCATGCTTGTTGGGGGGAGAAAAAAAAGCACACAGGTTACAAACACAAGAAAACCGTGTTGCATAAATTATACCAAATGTTCAGGAAAAAGTCACCTACATTTTTTTATTCTTTTTTTATTATTCTTTTCTTTAAAATTTTAGAAGCGACGCAATTGCATACAAAGTCAAAAGAGAGATGAGTTCAGACCACGGACTGTAATAAGAAGTGGACGTAGTCCTCGGGACGTCACCCGGTGGTTTGCGGACTGATGTTTTGAAGCCTCGAGTTTGACAATTTCTCCTTCGCCATCTTGGAATACGGCCATTGCCATGTTGTTTTTTTAAACCGAAGTTACCACATTTGGACTGATGATGAGTGACATAGAGACGCCGTATACGGCTCTGCTACTGGCAGCAGCAACCTGTCAATCACTGTGTAGCCCCGCCCTAAAGCATCCCCTGCTTTATGGTCTGTGTGACTCTAAATGGACCATAATTTACTAAATGAACATCATGCTGTATTGAAGAAGACTTGAAACTAGAGAATGAGACCATAAACTCACATAGAAAACGGGGCATGTGGAGTTTTGGACTTTTATCAGACACAGAAAGTCTGACGAACGACGCCATTGAGTTGCATTATGGGAAATGCAGGACATTTGAATACTAGGGACTGAAAGTCAGGATACCTCAGTCTTCACTGCTTTTTTGACCATTTTTTCTTTATTTTGTCTCTTGCAAACCTCCCAACTTGTGGACGAATGATAATTAAAAGCTGTGAAGTACCCCTTTAAATCCCTCATGTCATGTGATCGTCTCCCGCTGATGGGGTCACATTGTCTAATCGAGTTCTTAGAAAACAAAAATGCATCCCTGCAAAAACCTACAACACAAACAAGTAACCACACATCACACCAGCGCACACAGAAACCCACTCGATGAGTGTGTGACGTCAGAGATCTCAAACCCGTCCAGACAGCTGATCACATTAAAAAGCACAGACACAGTTTTGTCCATTTTTGGTGCTGTTAGAAAAAAGCTAAACGCTAATTCAATGTATGATACTCTGTGTGGGTCTTGCCAACACATTTGGCTACACGTTTTCCGCTCATGATTACATTTGCCAATAAGAAGCAGGGCCTATTTCTCTTTTTATTTTCCTTCTTTAGAGTTATTCTGAAGCATAACAGCTATTAAAATGTCTTCCAATGTCTTGATTAGTGAAGAGAAGCTAAACAGTCACACAGTCTGTGGATAGAAGGCCGAGGACTAAAAGCTCAGACGGAATAATTTGATGCCTTGTTAGTGCTGCTCAGGAAGTAATATATATGATCATTTAACAAATCACAAAAAGGATCAAATGTGATCTCAACCTGAGGCTGTTAAAATGTGAGGATAAAGCGTGATATTCAAACGCTCTTCACTGACAGATCGCCAACATGCTTTTCCTCCGCGAGCATCACCTCTCTGCTCACTGCCTGCAGAGACTCAGCGTGTCAAGTGGAAGGAAGCCAAGATTCTGCTGAGCAAACTACAATTGGTCTAATCCTCTGGCGCTGTGTCTGAACGATTGGCTGCCATGAGGGCAGCACAAGCTCGCTTTATACATTAGTTATCTGGCATTAGTATCGGGGGTTTGTTTGAGGTCGGCGGCGTGAATGTTTTGTGGCTCACAGTGTAAAGTTAAGAGAGAAAATAAAGTGTTGTTTTAGCTCACCAGGCCCTTGCAGTTGCTGAGCGCCACTCTGGTCGTGCTGTGCTGATTTTGCAAGAATCCAACATAGTGACAGTTATCTACCATGTTGTGCCGCCACTCCAGGCCTTCCCGTCCCCAATACTCCACTGTGAAATGTTTCGACACCAGGTGGGGGTTGAGTGTCAGGTTTAGGTGAAAGTGCTTCCCGTAGGCCGACAGCCTGTAGAACAGCCGGGTGTGCGGCTGGGGGTCCGGGTCCAAAGCGGGCAGCTGCCCCATGGCGGGGTCCGCCGCCCCGCGTCTCCGCCGGCCCGGCCGGTGGTGCTTCACAGTGTAGCTCAGGAACTCTCCGCTCTCGTCCACCCGCACCGGGACAGTCACCTGGTAGTGCTGCAGGTAGGACAGGAACTCCTCTTTTTACAGGAGAAGAAGAAGAAGAAGAGGAGAGAGAAGAGTGTGATGATGAGCATGCAATACATTAAAAAGATCTACCCGTCGTCCCGTGCCACGTCATACCTTGAGAGTTGTGTGAAAGTCTTTGAAATTCAGAAGCAGCCATCACCACCAGGCTCAGTGTCCAAGTCAGCGTCTTCCACAAAATTTCCATAGTTCGGCGGAGAGGTGTGACATGGGGTGGAGGGTAGAGGGCGCTACAAACGGGTTAGGAGCACGCGATGGGTCCGGTGCCACACCATAACAAGTCCATGGTTCGTGTCCTTCACTTGAATGCTCTCGTGGTGCTCGCTGGCTCATCCAGGGGTCCTCAGATTCCTCCCGATGGCGAGCGCCTCCGCATCTCACTGGCCTCTGGGTTCATGTCAGCAGCTCGCAGAAAACACCGTAATCCATCAGAAACACAGTCGCTCTCAGGTGTGACCCCAAAACAGGAAGCTCTATATTGGAAGCTTGTCTGGACCGATCCATCTGCATTCCTGTGAAGGAAATCAATCAGAGGGTCAAACGATCCGTCATTTATTGGGATCATCGCTTCATCAGATTGTTGTTCGTCCCACAGCTGAAACAATTAGTCAATTAATTGATCTGCAACCACGGATTGATCATTTTAGTCGTTTTCTTTCAGCAAAAAATTCTCAACATTTGCTTCCCAGCTTCACAAATGTGACGATACGCTGCTTGTTGCTGGTTTATTTCATTTTAAATGGAATGTATTTTGATTTTGGATTAAATTGATCAATTTTAAGTTGCCACCTTGCACACTGACTTTTGAAAGAATTCATAAAAAACAATACAAATTCTCATTTATGATGACACAAAATAGTGGGAATAAAAAGACAAAACTGCTTCTTTTATCTGACCAACAGTCCCACAAACACAAAGATATTCACTTTAAAATGAAATAAACCAACAACAAGCAGCATATCTTATGCAGCTGGAGCCAGAAAGTTGGACTGAAACGATTAATCGATTGATTTTCTCAAGTGACTAATCCCGGCAGATTTAACTGAACATCTCATAGAAAGTGAAACATCTTATAATGAACGTTTGTAGTTTGTTCATGTTGGTTTCTTGGCTCTCACTCAAACCCATGGTTTCACTTTAAATTACCAGGAACAACTCTGATTTTTCACACAATTTTCGCCACGTGCACTTATTAATTCAACATGCATCTGACAGTTTAACGACCGGCGAGTCTACACAGCGGGATTGAACCGTAATAATCGCAAAGTCTACCGGTGATATCATTGTCGTGCACGTTGTGGGTTTTCTTTTTTTACTCACTGACGCGCGCGCAAACAAGACGACTTATAAACAAACGTCAGCGCGGTCCAGGTGAGAGGAACGAACGACGTCCAATGAAAGCTGGCTCCAAACACACAGATGACAAGCTTTGTGCGTGTGCGTTTACGTGTGTGTGTGTGTGTGTGTGTGTGTGTGTGTGCGCGCTTTCTTCTGGCTGCAGCCCTCCACATAGACAGCGCTACTTACTTGGCCACTCTGACCCAGACAGTTGGCAGCTGGCCCGCGTGCATTATTACACCGGTACCTCAAACACACAACCCCTCAAAGAGAGTCTGAAAAAAAATCTAAATGAACCACCTGACTGACATGCTGCAAAAGAAAGTTACCAAAAAAAAAAGCGTCAAAAAGTTGCGGTAGTTATTTGGAGCTGCAGATGTGGAGCTGCAGCGCTGCTCCACGTGGATCCAGTGCGTAAATGTTCCCTAAAAGTGCAACTTTTCCACGCAAACCCCCCCATATGTATAAAAACTCCTCGTGCAAAAAGCGCCTCTTTGTAAACACAGTCTGATCCTCTGGGAGGATGTAAAATGCTCACACGGGAATCTGCTCCGACACAAACGGAGCCGACCGATATCGTGCCGCTTTCACCGGACGCGGAGTGTTAACAAGATAGTTACCACGCTCATCTTCATCGTCAGCTCCGGGTCCAACTGTGCGGGGAGAGAGAGGGGGAGAGAGGGAGAGGGAGAGAGGGAGAGAGAGGGGAGAGAGAGAGAGAGAAAGAGAGAGAGAGAGAGAGAGAGAGAGAGAGAGAGAGAGAGAGAGAGACACACACACACTCCGTCTCCCCCCCCCCCCTTTTGTCACACAGACACCGTCACACACACACTCGCGCGCACACACACGCAAACAGAAGTGTTTGGGTTTCCCTCCAGCAGAAAGAGGTCTCTGTCCTCAGTCGTCTTTATAATCTGTGCGTTCCTCTCGGCGGCTCAGGAGCGGCTTAAAAAAAAGTGAGTTGAGGTTGCAGCGGGTGTCCGAGGAGACCGACACACAGCAACTACTGCTTTCAGGGAGGGGGGGAGAGAGAGAGAGAGAGAGCATGCAAACAACCAGCAGAAGTGGTCTGGGAGCTGCTCCTCCTCACTACATTGCAGAGACCGGGTTTGTGTCTCAGGACAAGCTGCAAATTGGCAGCTTTCTTTTTTTCTTTTTCAGGAGGGGGGGTGGAGGGTGTGTGTGTGGGGGGGGTGGGGGGGGTGGGGTGACGTCAGTGCAGATGTGCGTCTCTCCCATCAGCTGTGCTGGAATAACACAGCACAGTACTAATAAAGGAAAGTGGAGGTGGTTCGACCTTCACATCATCTACCTGAGTTAAAAGCAGCACAACCACTTTGTATAAACAGTTTATTTAAAGGTAAACCGATGTCTTTATGGGGCAGAATGTTTATCAAAGTCCTGCATTTACATTTTCTGCTTCTTTATACTTTATACTGAGGGACAATATTGTACTTTTTTACTCCACTACATTTATTTTACAGCTCCAGATTAATATTTTATATTAAAAAGACATCAGTGGACGAACTATTCAGATCTTTTACTTCAGTAAAAGTATCAATACATGTGAAAATAAGAAGTAAATAATACGTAAAAGTCTGGTACTGAAAAGGGTTATAAGCTAAATGTACTTAAAGGTATTAAAAGCAGCATTTTACTGTTTTAGTTGGTTAGATAAGTTAAAAGTAGCTCCACCTGGAGCAGCTAATGTTAATGTCATAAATAGTAATAAGCATCCAAAAATGTGTACTTTTACTCTTGATACAAATACATTCAGATTATAGTAGTTTGCACTTTTACTTAAAAAGTATCAGTTTGAATGCAAGTCCTTTATTTGTAGTATTTTGCTGTATTTATACTTTCTCTTAAATAAGGATCCGAGTACTTCTTCCACCAGCGAACAATAAATACTTAAGATATGTAAAAGTACCGTGTAAGTGTGGGTGGTACAATAAATGTTGCAGTTGGTCAATAAAGAGCTCATTTTAACAACTTTTAGGTTCATATCTTTGAAAAGTAAACAGTAGAAACATTCCCTCTGAAATGGAATATGTACAGAAGTATAACTCCACTTCCTGCAGGTATAACTGCGTACAGAAGATGGTGATATCATGCAGCAGATGAACTCCCGGCAACCGAAAAGAAGAACATATTGTGACATTTGTTTGAAGAAGGTTTTAACTTTAACTCTGTGACACAAATCAAAGACATTTAGTTCCAGGTTCTTTAGAGTACATTCACGTATTGACAACAAGTATTTGGGTTTAAAGTTTGCCGTCTAACTCGTTGGATCTGCTATTTTCGGGGTCTGCTGTGGAAGGCAGCCCCGTGTACTTTGGTGTAATTTAGCCTCTCGTCTATCTTTAGCCTGTAGGAAATTGAAAATCATGCCTATTCCTGAGTTTCAGTTGCAGCTGCTCATTATGTAGGAGCCTCTATCATTACAGTCAGGTTGTCATTACCAGCTCTCCTGCACAGACTCAGTAGGTGTCGGCTAGTTTGTGGGAAGCAGCGCCGCCATGTGTCTGAAAGCGGCATCGCAGGGATTCAAAAAACTCATAAATATTAATAAATGTATTTAAATACAGGCTCGTATAATCACCCAATTATGTTTAACCTCTTAGAGAAGTGCACTTTGTTCTTTTAAGGGCATTTTCACTGCAGACTAGTCGTAATACTGTTTGAATTGGGCGAAAGGGCGTCAGCCGTATGACTTCCACCTTTATAACCTGAGATTAGTGCAATATAAAGGTGTGCGACTCACCACCTTTGTTTGCTAGTAGAGGGAGTATTAGGAATACCACTCTGTAGAAATACTAATAAGTATTATTAGCAAAAGTTACTAAAGAGTGTAAAAGGAAAGGTACTCATTCTGGAGAAGTTGCTCTATCATGGTTATACTGTTATAGATTATACCATCGAATAACAATGTGTAAGCAGCATTTTAATGTTGATGATTTAAGCTATTTTATATAAATTAGGTGCTTTAATTTGCTGTATAACAAAGATTCTTATCGTTTATGCTCATTATTGGTGAAGTATAACGAGGAACTACAGCTGCAGGATAAATGAGTAAAAAGTACGATATTTATATATGTGGAGGAGTACAACTACAAATTGGCACAATATTTGAATACACAAGTAGTTAAAAAGTGTACTTAAGTTCAGGACTTGAGTAAATGTATTTAGTTACTTTCCACCACTGCCTTTGTTAATGTGAATGAAGTGGATTTACTCAGAAATAAATGAGCAGAAAAGAGGTAAAGACAAGTTGAAAAGCTTCTTTGTTGTTGCAGATTTCTGCGATACAGGCGACATAAATATTGTTAAATGTGTATTTCTAATAACATTTCATTCTACACAGTTGAGCATATATTTAAAACATGCATCTCTGGGTGAAAAGTAGCTGCACTATGAAAGAAATAAAACTCTTTGATGCTCTGAATTTGTTGATAATTGATTGTCATCAGACCTTTGATCCGGCCACTGTTCATAAATATTAAAACCCTTACAGGGTTATTAATTCATTTGATCACAAATTCGACGCACAAATAATTTGAAACACCACATTAATATCATTTAAGATGCTATTGGTATAAATATAATTGGAGGTTGGACTTTAATTTTCATTTAGAGAAAAATGCCTCTAAAATGATCAAATGAAACATGATGTGAGTTCCCTGCTGAGATTTATTGTAGCGTGGCGGCGAGGGTGTGTTTACATTGACCTCTTTGCTGGGAATATTTCTGCACAATAAAAACCGTGATAAAGCTTGTCACCACATCAGTCACCTGCTTTGATCGGCTATAAAGACTCACGCTGCCTCCACTCTCTATCTGTCCTCCTAGAGCCTCTACCGTCTGGTAAGATTCACCTCCCAATCTACTTCTTGGCTGCCTGTCGTTTGCATGTGGAAGAGCTGTAATATGTTGTCATCTCGGCAGGGGAAGATACAGAAGTAATGAGACAAAACTGTTTTTAACCTACAGATCCCCATCATGGCTGTGACCAACCAACCAGGCAGATACGCGCCCTCTGAGTTCCAGACCGGCCTGTGTGACTTCTGTGACGACTGTGGAACTTGTGAGCGCTCCTTCCTGACTTCATTAATATGCACACACAGTTAAGACATTTGTATGCAGGATGTAGATTAAGTATTATTATTTTTCTTTAATACAGGCTGCTACGGTCTGTTCTGCTACGCGTGTCTCGGCTGCTCCATCGCCAGCGCCATGGACGAGTGCTGCCTGTGTGGTCTGGGCATGACGATCCGCAGCGTCTACAGGACCAAATACAACATCAACGTAAGTCTGACCGTCCATTTAAACACTACTAAATATAGTATTACTTTTTATTACATTTTAATATCATGCACAATATTACTTTTTATTTTATTTTTTATAAGCCACTGGTGTTCGTATTTATTCTTTACTCTTATATTGTTGTCTAGTTATCTATTTTAGTTTATTTTAATTAAATGTATTACTCTTATTGCTATTCTATTTTGCACCAGTGTGAGTAGTACTTTATAATACTTGTACAGGTATACTAGAGGGAATTAAAAAAGTGTTTTTGTCCTTCTGAATAAAGCTGTAAAAGTTACTTCTGCTTGTGATGCCACGTCACATGCAGTGGTGGAGGAAGTACTCCTTTACTTATGTAAAAGTACTATTATGACAATGTTCAAATACTGCATGTAAAATTCATTCAAAATCCTACTAAAGTATTATCAGCATAATGTATCAAAAGTATAAATACTCAGATAAATGGACTCTGCAGGTGGAGCATGTTTGAACTTTGAACTTTATATACTGTTAGGTACTTTAGTCCGGTGATTCCCAACCTAAGGGTCAAACCCCTCCAAAGGGTCCCCAGATACATCTGAGGGGTCCTGAGATGATTAACGGGAGAGTAAATAAAGTGTCTAATACACAAACTTTTCTCTAATCTTTGCTTTTGTGTGAAATATTGGATCATTTTACAGATTTCCTTGTTATTTAAATGAAGGTAAATCCCTCTTTTACTGGGAAACATCACAGGGAGCCACACCTGCTCTTTTTATTACATTTATAAGCCACAAAAGGTCGTAAAGGTTTAATCTTTAACACTGCTGTTAAAGATTAAACCAGAGTAATAAAACTACAACATTGCACTTCCGAATCTTTTATAGATGGTTATATTTGGAACGTTTTTATAGGCCTGAAGAGGAACAGTGATACAGTATTAAAGGGCCAGTGTGGCATATAGGGGGCATTTAAGTATTATATTAATAAGTACGTTTCCTTAAGTGTATAATCAGCTTAACAATAGTAATAGTTGTGTTTTCGTTACCTTAGAATGAGCCGTTTATATCTATAAACGGAGCCGGCCGCCATGTTTCTACGGTAGCCCAGAACAGACAAACCAAACATTCGTGTTTTCACGTCAGCCGTCACAGTTCTCTTTCACGCCCGGCACACGAGAGAAGTTTCAGTTGGTTGTGATCTGCAATCCCACACACTGGAACTTTAAACTGTAGAGTAAGAGAAAGGAAGAATGTTTAGCTCCACGGATTGGATGGATTTGCATGTTGATGTTAGCATTTAGCTCGAACCATCGTTGTGTAAAAGTGCAGCCTCACAGAGTTCCTCTTGTTCCCTAAACCTGTAAACATCTTGCGACCAATTAGGTTCATCTCACGTCTCCTTTTGGGGGCCCTGACCTCCAGGTTGAGAACCACAGCTGTAAAATAAAAAAATAGACAGAAAAAAAAGATTGAATTATATTAAGCTACATCTAGTTTTATAAATGCCCCAAACTTAAACTATGACCTATAAAGCTCATATATTTAGACTTGTACAGATTTTGATGCTCTCGAACTGGTTCAACTTCCTCCTGAAAAAAAACATCTGAAAATTACTTTAATTAGCAAAGATTTAAACACTTTTTTGGAGTAATGCATGTAAACTTCTATGTGATATTTCTATTTGAGTCGTTTTTCTTCTTACTGCTAAGAATTGAAACTTTGATGAATTATGCAATCTTTGTTTTGTTTTTCTTTTTATACTTTTCATTTGTTAAAGTATGACTGTTCTATATGTAACAGAGGTTTCTTCAGCTTCCAAACTCTTTCTACAAACCTGTATAATGTGTGCTAATAAATACATAAATAAATACGTGCACGAGATACCTCACATCCAATAGAATTTGATGCTCATACTTGTGCTCCCAGGGGTCACTGTGCAATGACTTCATGATGACCTGGTGCTGTCCGATCTGTGCCACCTGCCAGCTGAAGAGAGACATCGACCGCAGGAAGGAGCAAAACCTTTTCTGATTAAGTAAGAAAATACCTCATATATATTCGTATATTATATATATATGAGCGTCATGATATCTTCACGGAGCTGCTGACATTATTTTCTTTTAAACACCGTGTCTACTTTACTTTATTCCTTCTAGATGCCGTGGAGACGCTGTTCTCATAGAAGCCTTTGTTCATTCAGCCCATTCTCTCTCTGATAAACATGTAAAGTGGCGTTCTGTGTGATTTGTTTCCGTTAACGGTGCCATAAATTGGCTATCGACTCTAATCCCTTTGAGGTTCAGTTAAACATCAGTGAGTGGAAAACAGCGTGATGATTTACTGCTTGGGTGATATAATAAAGTGTATCTGAACTACAGCTGACAGGATGTGGATTCAATAAGTTTAAAGATGTTCTTGAAATAAAATAAACTCTTAATTTGAATCAGTAGAGGTTGTCCCTTGTTTGTTTTATTTGCTGTTTGTTCACTTGTGTATATTTTACTTCACACCAGCATCTTAAACCTGGTGTTAGCTTTTCTTCTCACTGAAACATTTCAACATCTATCGGACGGATTGGCACAAAATTGGGCCAGACATTCGTCCATCATCTCGCCCAAATTTATATTTGTCCAATAATGCTTTATGAAAAACTAACTAAAACTCACATTCCCAGCAGCCTCAGCGGTTAGTGTTTGGTGCTAATTAGCAAATGTTTGCACGCCAACAACCATTCTACCAGCATATTAGCATGCTGTCGTTAGCATTTAGCTCAAAGCACCACTGTGCCTAAATAAAGTCTTTCCTCACCTTCAGCCCAAAAGTTATTTTGAGTTCACGTCTAGCTTGAAGAAAGCTGGAATTATTGAGATGTTATAATAATCTAAATACAATCTATTTTAGTTTACAAACAATGAACTTAGCTACTAACAAATACTGTTGAAGTTGACACAGTGGGACGCGGTTCTGAGTTGAGAGAAATAAACTACGTTTGACTTGGTCATGAAGAGACGGAGCTTTCTCACAGCAGATATCTGCGTCTCAGAACATGAGCTATGGCTGCATTCCATTTAGTTGTGCCACTTTCATGACTCTGGTATTGTGCATACCGGTTCGTCTATACAACATGCTGGTACACTGGAGCCATAAATAATCAGTTACAACTTTGCTTTTCCAGTTAAGACAAGTCTGCAGTGAGAAACTACTTGACATCCAACCAGCGACGCTGCGGCTCTTACATTTAGTATTTAGGCAACAACGTTCTCCTGAAGCACGGAGGCGTTTGTTACCGTGTATCAGGAAGCTGCTACACGGACACTGGTGAGATACATTTAATGCTGGTTTCTGTCTGTAGGGAAACGTGTGAATAAAAGTACATTAGGCTCATTCTGTGTTACAGCATTCCAAAAGTGGACAGTATTGTAAATTCTACATGTAACGTTTGATTTAAGAAAAATGTTTTGGATCATAATTAAGGACAAATGAAAGTGTGCACAAAGGAAAATATGTTTGAAGTTCACCTCATCATGTCCGACTTCTCTAGTTCAGTTGAGCTGCTCAAACCACCAGAAACGCTTCGGATCAACATCAAAAATGTAAAATACAATAATTATGCAATTAAATGTACAAATGTGAAAAATCATATAAAAAATTAATGGTCATTAATTAACTAATATTTGTTTTAATTTTCTTCATTTAATTACATTTGTATTAATTCCCGTATTTATCTACTCTAACTTTCTCTTGATGTTATTTATTAATTTTCATTAACTTTGACAATTATTTATGCATTTACTTGTCATTTATTTTAAATGAATGTATTTATGCGAATATTTGTTTAACCTTATTTATTTCCCAGAAAAGATTTTCTTTCTGTCACATTTAACACAACTGAAGTCGTGATTTTGGGAGGTTCTGACCTCCACAGTACTCGTATGAATGTTGATTAAAACTGTAAAACATTTGAATGACTTTCTACTAAAGTAAAATGACTCGACGGAGACGCTGAACGATTTCTTTCCGCTTTTGAATTTAATTCAGAACTTCATACGAGTGGACCGAGAATGTTCGCACATGACGGAGACCCACTTGACAGATATTGCTGCGTCATCATGTTACGTTTAAAAACAGGAGAACGTGTTGGAACGCAAAAGCTGACTCTCCCGTCTTTTTGACCTAATTACATGTCAACTATCTGAATAATCACATCCAAACTTTTAACATGCCAAGTACATAATGTGAGGTCACCTAAACGTTACACAGATCCGGCACATTGAGATGCACTGAACTCTTTCCCCCATGGACAAAAGCAAATAAAGACTTTTATGAAAATCCAAACAAGTGACGGGGATACCAGAGGCTTCTTCTTCCTTTACTGGGACTCAAGCGGTGACATTTTTGACCAGGAAGACAACACTTTGAGACGGGAGGGATCAGTGGAGGGGTTTTTGTTTGTGTGTGGGTGGGGGGGGGGGGGGGGGGGGGATGGGGGGTTTGGGGGTTCATTGGTTGGCGTGTGTCCGGAGGCTGG